ATATGTATATATATCCATTCACGTATCTAGAAAGGCACGAAGTGCATACGTTTATACACCATCCGCACATATCGGTTAACAACAGGTGGAGTGGTCGTGCAGGAAGACGTACTCAGCGTGTATCTGAAAGAGGGTGGGACCGGTAAGGGCCATAAGATCTCGTTTAAGTCCGACGGACAGGTGCCGTTGAAGCCGATGGATTTGGTTACCAACAAACTCTCCAAGTACGACCATGCCCCATACGTAAGTTAATGTCACCAGCGAATGTCTGAATATGTAGTTGTCTTTTCTGAGTTGTATTCCTGTGGCTCTGGTTCGTATGGCTGCCTATTGAGTCGATTCGGGACGCTTTATTACTGTTGATCTGCAGTAGGGTTGGTTTTTCAGCTCAGCGAGTGTATATACAGAATAGACACGCACACACACTCACTAACTCACTCACACTGACACTCACACACACACAGACACACAGACACACACACACACACACACACACCACGACACACACACATACACACACACACACACACACTCACTCTCTCTCTCTCACAAACACGCACACACATTTATATATATATATATATGTATATATACGCAGATGTGTTGTATCATGATCTGTTGAGTTCCCTATTCGTTATACTATACACTCACGGCTTTCATCAACATATAACCATTTGTCACCTACGCAGAATGCACACACACATGTAAGCAACGCAGTCACCGATGGCCAAGTTCCGGACATTCCAGACACAACTCCAATTATGAATAGCTTTACGGATATGGATGAAGTAGCCACGCAGCACAGACAAGCCGTCTCACGGCGTGCCGATCAGTTCCCCCGAAGTACTGAATCGGCCCGACGGTCACTGCCCGCTGCATTTGGCAATAGTGGGACGAAGCTGGATATACCTACCACCGAGACCGGGGCATCACAGCCAAAACCAGCTGTAGGTAGCGCCTTTGGAGGCAGGGTGGAGAACTCAGGGAACAGAGAAACAGGCGCGCGCGTATCCGCGTTTGGCGCCGTTCACGACACTCCCGCTGTTTCTGGCGCCACGGCGTTTGGGACACCCTTTAAGCAAGACGCGAGTGCAAACGCGTCGGCGTTTGGCGCCCATGCCTTTTCCGATACGAAACAGCTTGGTAACACGGCATGTCCGTTTGGTAGCAATGTGGAGATAAACGCCACTGGGCTCACCTCCACTGGGCCCACCGCCACAGCACCCACTGCGTTTGGGACAGGCAGTGGCGGTGCGTTCAGTCAGACCGCATTCGGCGCTGGGAGTACTGCAACAACCCAGCCACTGACCACGGCCTTTGGCTCGAATACCGGGACAAACGCGTTTGGTGCGGATATAAAACACGAGCCGAAAGCGTTTGGTTCGAATACCGGGACGAACGCGTTTGGTACCGATATAAAACCCGAGCCGAAAGCGTTTTGTTCGAATACCGGGACGAACGCGTTTGGTGCGGATATAAAACCCGAGCCGAAAGCGTTTGGTTCGAATACCGGGACGAACGCGTTTGGTTCAGACGGTGATAGGAACACGGGGGCGTTTGCATTTGCGACTGCACCGCCAGCATTGAACAACACAGCCAACACCACCACAGTAACTGAAACGGGTATGTGTAGAGTGTATGGTACAGGTATGTGTAGAGTGTATGGTACAGGTATGTGTAGAGTGTATGGTACAGGTATGTGTAGTGTATGGTACAGGTATGTGTAGAGTGTATGGTACATATATGTGTAGAGTGTATGGTATAGTTATATGTAGAGTGTATGGTGATGTTTGTGCCTGGGATGTAGACTATTAATTAGACCGTGTGTGGGTTGTGCTGTTTCGCAAGTGATCGTATCTACCCAATAAAATACCGAGGCTTATGCGGGGTATGCCTTAGGACAAATTCAGCCTGTCTGATGATTCGGGTTCGGGTCCACACTTGATGGCGTCGGACCAGAGAAGTCCTGAGTGTTTCGCTGGTACAATCTAATCGCACACCACTTCATTCCCAATCGGACAACCTTACATACACCCATATAAAGATACACACGTTTTATATGAACACACACACACCCATATAAAGATACGCCCGTTTTATATGAACACACAAACCCATATAAAGATACACCCGTTTTATATAAACACACACACCCATCTAAAGATACACACGCTGTATATAAACACACCCACCCATCTAAAGATACACACGTTGTATATAAACGCACCCACCCATCTAAAGATACACACGTTGTATATAAATACACCCACCCATCTAAAGATACACACGCTGTATATGAACCCACCCACCCATCTAAAGATACACACGCTGTATATAAACACACCCACCCATCTAAAGATACACACGTTGTATATAAACACACCCACCCATTTAAAAATACGCACGTATATAAACACCCACACCCATCGAAATATACACACGTTGTATACTAACACACCCACCCGTTTAAAGATACACACGTTGTATAAAAACACACCCACCCATCTAAACATACACAGGTTGTAGATGTTCACAAACATCCATCTACAGATACACACGATGTATATAAATACAACCTCCCATCTAAAGATACACACGTTGTATATAGACACCCCCACTCACTCACACGGATACACCGTCCCTTATCCATCTCCACACACAGCGGCTCAGTTGTGCACTGCTGCGGTGGAGTGTGTCGCTAGTCCACTTGTGGAGCAACTGGTGCAATGGGCTGTGCAGAAAGAGGCGCGCGTGCAGCTAGAGCGAGAGGCACGCGCGAAGGCGGTGGAGATGATGTACGTCAAAACAATCAGCCAGGAAGTGCTGGACGCCATGGTGGAGGTATGGAAATGCAAGTGCACGAGGATGTGTGTGTGTGTGTATATGTATGTATGCCACATGTGTTGTTGCTGGGTGTATGTGTATATGGATGTATGCCACATGTGTTGTTGTTGCTGTGTAGATGTCTATATGTATGTATGCCACATGTGTTGTTGCTGTGTGTATGTGTGTATAAATGTATGCCACATGTGTTGTTGCTGTGTGTGTGTATATTTATGTATGCCACATGTGTTGTTGCTGTGTGTGTGTGTGTATATATATATGCCACATGTGTTGTTGCTGGGTGTGTATGTGTATATATGTATGCCACATGTGTTGTTGCTGTGTGTATGTGTGTATAAATGTATGCCACATGTG